TGCTGAGAGAAACAAAGGGATCTCAGTCGGCTGCCAGCTCGGGCACTGCATGTTCTCTGAAGTGTTTGCCCTGTGTGGCACCCTGTTCACACCCTGGGAATCCGCGGGGCAAGCACATTGCGCAGTCCTGCCGTGTCTGCCGCATGCCCGTGTTGTCTGGAGTGGCAGTCCACACGTTCCACTGAATCTCCACTGAATGTGAAAGCTGATGCTGTGGAGCAGGGAAACCGGCTCTTTCACAGGAAGAAATCTGGAGAGCTTTGTCATTGGTCTAATTGGAAGGGATAGCTTATTAGTTTTAGTAATTAAAACTGAGACTGGTAAATGTATGGGCTCAGATACTGGCAGAGTTGACTTGGCTTTTTCATCCTTCCAAAGCAGATAAAGAAAATAGAGTGCAAATTATTGAAGTTAGATTTCTTGAATGAGACTTCAAAAAACCAAGGACTTTTTAAAGATTTCCTAGCAGCTAGCAAAACTAAATTTGCATTACAGTGCATTTCTTTTAAATTTTGGTTTAAATCAGTTAAACTCCAGCTAAGAAATGCTTTCCTGAGACTAGCTAGTATCTGTCCATGGTGCGAGGAAGACTTAGGGCTGTTCTCAGCCCTGCCAGCTGCAAGGTAGTCAAGAGTCATTTTGTATGACTCTTACTCTTGCAGAGTAAGCCGGAAGCACCTGGGGGATGAAATGAAGCACCAGTATAACAAGGGTATATATAAATGTGTACACCACCTCCATTTTATCAAAGGGGGAAACTGAGGCAGACTACTTCAGTCTCTTTTTCAAGGCCATGGGGTGAAGGGATCAAGCTGCATCACTAACCTTTTGGAAAGGAAGTGTTTTTATCCTTCTCTCCTTTGAGTTGTCATAAATGATCTTTTTTCAAAAGCAGGGCAAGGCAGGATTGGGGTCTGATTTACTGGCATTATGTTACTGGGAGGCAGCTTGGTTTGTTCATCAGAGATGCAGAAGCCAGTGACTTCTTTTTGTGTGTACTTCCAAGCGGCAGAGATGTAGCTGAGAGAGTGTCTGTCATGTGCCATCCCATGTGAAGCGCTGACCAGAGGAACAGACTGTATCCAGCAATACTGTATCAGTCATCACCGTTTTGTCAGCGTTTGTG